GGCCGATTCCAACAATTTTCAACGCTTTGCTTTTACGTGGCAAGCACAATAACCATACCGAGTTTGGTACAAATTGGTAGAACGGTTACCGAGATACATATATGTGATCCTAAGTGGGCGGTGCCACGCCCATTTTCCAAAATTTTATCATAAACGTATTTCTTGGTAAATGATGGTTGCAAGCGTCAATTTTGAATAAATTAGCTTTAATATTTACTGATTTATCGAAGATTTCGTATTTCTCTAAATTACCCTTATATGGAATGTGGGCGTGGTTATTGTCCGATTTTTAAAATTTCGGCCATTTGGTATACTGTACCAAAGCCAACAATTGTGCCAAGTTTGGAAGAAATCGGTGCAGCGGTTGCCAAGATATACACATGTGGCTACGCCCATTTTTCAAAAATTTATAATTTTCTTATTTTTCGTCTCAAAATTATTACAAATATCAATTTTGAGTGAATAATCTTCAGTAGTTACTAAAATATCGCAGTTTTCGTATTTCTGAAAATTACCGTTATATGGGAGGTAGGCGTGGTTATTGTCCGATTTTGCCCATTTTCAATACCATCCGTCCTACGCCCGAAAGAAGTACACGTACCAAGTTTAGTTAAGATATCTTAAGTTTTACTCGAGTTATCGTGTGTAAAGACGGACGGACGGACGGACAGACAGTCACCGCTTAATCGATTTCTCTTTTCATTCTGATCAGTTATGTATAGATTTGTCTATATCTGTCTCGATTCGTTTTGCCTGTTACAAACAACCGTTATGTGAACAAAGTTATAATACCCTTGTGCACAAGTGCGCTCGGGTATAAAAATTTTTGTTTTGTTTACTAAGCAAATGTTTATTTTTCGGCTTTTGCGAATTAAATAAGTTCTCTGCAAGAAGCTTTGTTTAAAAAAAATACATGGTACATGGTATATGGTGAATAGAAATATTACATTTCCCTTTCAGTAAACCTTTAAGTGTGGGCAACAATGATATTTTTCAAATAAGGCAGATCGGAATATGTGCTCTCTGGGAAGACAATACCTGTAATTATTGTACGATGGTACAAGATAGCATTAAAAAATCAGCCATATTTTTCGTTGCTGTGAATTTTTTCAAAACTTCTGACTTTTCCTTAATATAATTGTAAAACTCTGTACACGTAATTTGTAACGTATGAACTTTTGTATATTGAGCGAATTAAATAAGAGAAAAAATGTATCTATATTAGATTTATGACTAGGTATGGCCAAGATGTATTAAACAAGGTGTGATGCAGTGAGGCTCTCTTTTAAGGTACTATAACGTCAAAAAAAAAAATGACAACTCCTCTGTGAAAGCGGGAAGCACATGATAAAAAAAATAGGAAGGTAGAACCGCTGAGAGGAATTTTTCAAATTCTTGACATTTGCAAGCAATTTAATTTTAAAATTTTACACACAAACTCACACACGCATTCTCATTTTCAATCTAAAACAACAACAACTTTGAACAATTCCTTTTTCTTAGTCTCAATTTTATATGATTTTAAAATGTTGGCAAACTTAAAAAAAAAAAATCATGGCCGACGAATTGAGAGAACGGTTTTACCTTGCTATGTTTTTATCATGGGGAAGCAATTTATACTTTCTGTTTGGCATTTTCTTCTTATTAAAACACTATAAACAAACATCTTTATATTCTATAAACTTTGTCGCGAAAACTTACATTGGAAGGAACCATGCACAAACAACAAACGAGCAAAAAGGGCTAATTAGCATCAGGAAGGGCACTTTGCACTTAAAGGTATGTATTGTGGGTATATCGATGATCAAATATTGCTTGTGCAAAGTTCAACTATCTGGAGATTTAACTATTTCACAAATGGCATTGGTAGTGATTTTTGAACTTTTATTAAAATTTCTGCAATTAAAATCTGAACACTTAAACGAAACCCGGGACATTTTAAGGTTGGACCGGGACACCGGGACAAATAGTCTAAAAACGGAACAGTCCGGGAAAACCGGGACGTCTGGCAGTCCTATTTATATTACAATTAAAAGGAGAAAAGCTATGAACAAGTTTCATTATATGAAACATTTGTACATTGAATCTTTGACAATTTTATCCTTTCGAGTTTCTAACTCATAAAACTTTAATCTGTATAGTTGTAGTAGTAATAGTGAACCTCAAGATGCATTTTGAAGTTTTCTGGCAGCATTTTCATTCGATTTTCGCGAAGAAAAGCCTTGAATGTACTCAATGTGCGCTCGACGTAAGTTGGTACAAATGGAGCCCAATTTAAATATGGAACGTTTGAAACGTTCATATTATCAGGAATAAGGGTGTTTTCCTCGCCCTTTACAATTTTATCCACGCCCCTTATTGTCTCCAAGCCTACATTAGCTGAGAAAACGGCTTTGAATTTTTCCAACACCAATTTGGCAAGAGGTCCCTGCGCTTCTACATATAAGCCGCATGGGCATGTGTATATTTTTTAATCTTAAAAAAAAAATTGTAAATGATATAATCACTTTTTTAAAGGTAGAAAAGGCAAAAAAAGGCAAATATCTTAAAAAAGGCAACATCAAATATGTATATATGGAATCAGGGAAAGCTAGATCGTGGACATTCTTAACCGAATATACTCTATCTCTTTAGCAGAAAAAAAGGCAATTTCCATAAAATCCGTTCCCTGGTTATTACATATAATAAAACACATGCAATGTAAACATATCTATAAAAAACACGTTACCTTTTTACATTATGAGTTAGATATTTGTCCATATTTTGTTACACTATCCGCACGAGTATTACTTATAAAAAATTTCACACAATCGCGTTTGAATATAGTAGATATGATGCATAAAAATCATACATAGGCAATTCCTCGATAGTATCGAACTTCAAATATGGCCGATAGTGGTGGTGGTTGTTGCTTAAACGCTTTTTTTCATAATTTGCTGTAAAAGTAGCCATTACGATTTTTAAGCCATGGTCTGTACACCAAATTTTTAAAGTAATAGTTATTTACAAAAATATAAAAGAAATAGAAAAGAAATAAAAAAGCGTAGTAAAAATATGATAAAACGTAATGGGGTACCAAATTTTAAAATCTTTGATAAATCGTAGCAAATTTAGTAAGATCGTAACAAAGTGCCTACGCTGGATATCACATTCTCTTATTCCACCATGATCATGCTTGCCGCTCTCAATTTCCGATTCGAGTGGTGAACTTCCAGAGCAATTTTGATAGCTTTTAGCAATTCATACGCTTATTCGTAATTACACAATCTCTGCTATTAGCCAATAATAATAGAATACAAGATTGCGCATTCCTGGTGGCGTTGGCTTTTCTGGTGTAAAAGTAAACAAAGCCCAAAATGAGGATAAAAAGAATGACAGAAGAGCCAATTATCTTAATATTTTAATTTTCGATAGGAAAAGGGTTTTGCTTTGTGCTTTGCTTTAAATTGTGAAAATAAATGATTTGTAAAAACGATTAACAAAGAAAATGTGAAAAATGGTGATTTTAGTGATAGTATTAGTGAATTTCAGTACATTTAAAGCTTTAGAGGCATCGTTTGCTTTTACACGAGAAATGTCGAAATCAGCCAAACCAAAGTAGCAGGTAGCGGAATGCGTCACCTTCTGTTCGCTATATCTTGTCTATTAACGATCTCTGCTTTTACCTAGGGTGGCCAGATATTATAGTGACATAATCAGTACACTTGTGATCAAAAATCAGTACAAAGCCATAAAAATCAGCTCATTCTTAAGCGTATTTTTTATTATTAACAATATAACAGCCAAATAACAGCGCATTAATTTAACAAAAAATAACTAATACACTTTTAAATACATATAGTATTATCAATACAAAAATTCATTACTTTAAAACAAATCAAAAGTATTACGTATGTATGTACAGCTGTGCTCAGGAAAATAGTAGTAAAATGTATTGACAGGTTTTGAAATTTTTTTCTTCCCTTACTTAATTGAAATTTTTTATAAAAATATAGTTAATTCTATAACAAAAGACATGTGAGTGAAGTCTCAAACTTTCTAGAAAATTTATAAAAATTTAGAAAAAAAAAAAAAATTGTTTGCCCATTCAGTTTCAGTAGAAGACGAGCTCGAGTCAGAATCTGTTTGCATATTTTAAGCTACAAATTTTAAACATATTTAGTTGGTGTGCTTATTAAAAACAACATTCACATTAAAATGTTGACTAAAAGGTATATTACCGAATTATCGCTAAACGAATTTACGAGTACGAATGAAATTTAATAGTGTTAAATGTGTATCTGCAATTAAAATTACAGGTGGTCGAACATCAAAAATCAAAGTAAAGCTACATATATCATATCCAAGAGTCGATAGTTTGCACCTTTTCCAAATTTTTAGAACTTACATTGCACCGTAGCAGTAGTCGTCTTAAATTTGAAATACCGACAGCCGATTTCTCAGTGGATGTTTAATTATAATCGAAAGATTATCTCTTATTGTCATCTTCTCAGTGTACTTAATATATGATTAACTCACCACCACCTTTCATAAGATTTATTTATGGCGAAACCAGCTTTTCCTGTAAATCCTGTAAAACCTGCAAATCGTGAAGTTGGGTTGAGTTGAATCCAAACAGTTTCTTATTTTGCGAAATCCTAGGAAACGAAACAATTGCAAGCTGATACCTTTTTAATAATGGTTCAAGTTTAATTAATGCTTTCAATCTGCTCACACGTAAGAGTTGTCAAAAACCATTGTTTTGAACATGTAAACCTCAAGTAAATGTCAATTACACCAGTTTACAAAAGTATTTATTAAATGTAAAAATCAGTAAAAAATCAAAAAATCAGTAGATTTTGCGTACTGATTTCGGACTCTTAAAAATCAGTACAATAGAAAAAAATCAGCACATGTACTGATTAAATCAGCGCATCTGGCCACCCTATTTTTACCTTTTAATTATATCGTAGCGAGGAAATATCAACTTTTGTAAGTATTTTTGTTCACATTCGGATTTTGGCGATGAGCATGTGTGGGTCGTGCGCGTCCTCTTGTAAAATAGTTTAATTTGTGCGAGCATAGTGCAGTAATTTTTAGTTTTTCTTGGCCTTTTTTGTGTCCGCGTGAATTATAGAGCAAAAGTAAAGCGTGTTACGTCTTTTTATTTAAGAAATCTGGGGAATGAAAAGCGATTTGGTGAGTAATCTTGGCGAATTTTCCTTTTTTTAATTTGTGTAGCGTATATAAAAAAAAACCTTAAATTGCTTTTAAAAAAAGAGAAAAGTGCAGCTAACGGCACTTAAGAAGTTGAACTAAATGGCGTCGCCTACTCCATGAAAAAGAAGAAAAAAAAAAATATGTAGTGAAAAGATAACTGCAGAGCAAAACAGTGACATGGTTGTTGAAAACGATGCAGCGGACTAGGGATGGCAAAAGAAATAAAATAATAGATATGATTAATCACAAGCCAAAAATATTAATTGCAATTATTGAGAAATAATCGATTAATCGATTCAAAGGTGCTTTTTTTACAGTGAGTATTCACAAAAACACCTTTCCATAAAAAACTCATAAACCTCTTGTTAATTAACCTTATGGTGATTTCGTTTCTACCAAAAATGTCACCTTTTGATTGCCCCTTTCTCTTTTCGTGTTCGATTCTAAATTAAAGGCAAAAGGTGAGAAAATTTTGTGTCCGTTTCTTAAAATGTCACATTCTTATAAAGCAAAAAAGGCCCATTCTCTGCCCTTTGTAGCTTTGTCAGGAGAGATGGTTGCCCTGAAAATCAGATGGCTGTTTAAAACGAAATTATTAGGAAATGCGCAGTCTAGATAAGGGCAAGAAGGCATGCAAACATGCATTTTTACACGGTTGAGTGTAACATCAAACACATTTTGCACCGGAGAAAGGGCAACATTTTTTGGAAGAAACGAAATCACCATTAAATTAAATAAAACGAGTATTTTGAGCGGGGATAATTAGTTATTATTTAACCTAGTTTGCAAAAACAAAAGTTTTAATAAGCGCTTTGTTCTTAAGCGGTTGCGTTTCTCGGTAAATAACAGTATTTTTTCGAAAGTCCGCAAGGTTTTGGGTAAACAGTTTTCATTTCCTCCAATGCGTCGATGATATTCCACTCTAGTTCTAGAACTAGACAATTTAAATGAAAACTGATTTCATCTTGTGGGTGGCCCAAATCATCATCTTTTTGCCTTCGTTTGTGTACAAGAGATGTATGAGGGGCCCAAAGATCGAACTCATTTTCTACTGATTCTAGTGACGACCAGTGATGCCTCATATTTTTTTTCGAAAATCCCTACCATCAGCTAAAAAAAAAGTCTCTACTTTTCCCTACGCACAAACAAAAAATTCCCTACAAAATCCCCTACAGTACTTTCGTTCCAGCAGCGTTAAACAATTTTCAAAATTAAAACACATGTAGATGAGGCGGTTTTATAAGCATTTTAACAAGATTTTTATGCAAACTGGCTTTTATCTAATCTAAATCTAAAAAATAAAATCAATAACGCAGATTGAGTAGAAAACGTTTTTGTTTTGAATTTATATTATTATTTCAATATGGCACATAAATAAGTGTTTTTATTTAAATAAATCACAGTGTGTGTTTAATAGTGTTCAAACATGTATTTATAAAAAGCATCAAAAGCAAAAAGCATAAATGAGGAAATTTTAATGATGGTCATATACGTTTTTAGCCACCATAAATTTAAAAATGGATTCTGGGAATTTGTACGAGACGCAATCAACATATCCGTCATGCGAGAACGACCGAATCATGCATATAGAAGTAAGATTTTCATGGCTTAGTTTATTTCGTTTCTTAGTACGAACATCTGTAATGATTGAAAATATTCTCTCTGATTCTGCATTCACATGGGGAAGAGATAAACAAAACTTTGTTATTTTTGAAAAAAGAGGAAATAAAAATTCGTCGTTAAAATTTTGAGCTTTACTCATCAAACTCCAAAACTGCTGAATGTCTAATTCGACGAGTTTATCTGTTTTATTTTGAGGGAAGTTATATTCAAATAATCTCCACTCATTAAGTACAGCATTTTCATTTAAATTTAATTTTCCTCAAATGTGAGTAAACTTCTGTTAATCGATTAATCCAATTTTTTTAAAGGCACTTTTTTGCAGTGAGTGTTCACAAAAACACTTTTCCATAAACAATTTCTAATTCTATTGGTTATTAGGTCTAAATAAAATAAAATGATTACTTTTTGCGGCGATAATTATTTATTATTTATCCAAGTTTGCGAAAACAAAAGTTTTTGATAAACGCTTTGTTGTTAAGCGGTTGCGTTTCTCCGTGGCTGTAGCACCAGCTTTTGAAAAAGGCGCTCAGCAGGCACCGAGGTACCAACTAAATGACAATATTTTTTCGAAAGTCTGTAAAGTTGTGGGTAAACAGTTTTCATTTCCTCCAAAGCCTCGATTATATTGCGATTTAGTTCTAGGACGTGATAATTTAAATAAAAACTCATTTGTGTACAAGAGATTTATGGGGGACCCGAAGATCGAACTCAATCTCTAATGATTCAAGAGAAGTGAGTCCTTCCTGTTTCCATAAAATCATCTGCGCAAATTATTTCATTTCGCAAGAACTTCATCACTGAGGCCAATGTTAACGGATCTTTGAAATGAATTTTTCTGACCCTCGAGTCGAGTAAAGTTGATGCAGCTAGCAAAGAGGAATGTTCGATGGAGCCAGACCTTCGGTCAAATTGTTTCAAGACGGCATCTCTTAAATTTTGGGCGACGCGTTACTTTGGTAATATTTTAATTATTTGTTCGCGACCGCACTTAATTGTACTCTCATTGCCTCTAAAGGTCTCAATATACTCAATAGTTCTATTATAATATCTTTTTCCATTGAAGTTATCATTACCGGAGCTTCAGAGTTGTCTAGCAATATTTGGCTGATGTATAAACTTATTTTTATAAACCGTTCAAGAATAAATTACGTCGAATTCCACTTTGTTTTTACGTTTAATATTGGTTTGAGCATTTTTCCTTTACTAACACCTGCTGAAGCTTGCATTCTGCGAAGATTGTCATTGGCTTTAATACTTTTTTTAAACCACTTACCGATGACTTTACATTTGTCAATAATTGCATTTACTTCAGGAATGGTCAGCAAGTTCTCACAAACCAAATTAAGTGTGTGTACAAAACAAGGGATATGCCGTTTCCTGCCAAACGTTTCATGAACAGATGTTACAATATTTGGACCATTGCCCTTTTTGCCTTACAAGGTTGTGGCTAGGGATGGCAGCGATTAATCATTTGATTAAATTAATCGATTATTTTGGTCCAATTTACGATTTAATTGTATCGTAGTTTCGTGTTTCACTAATCGATTTATTAATCGATTAATTGTAAAATAATCTTAAAAACATTTTCAAAAATATGATTTCTGTAGTCTAATAGCCTTATTCATAAAAAATAAAGTAGCTTTACAAAAGGTTTATAAATTGAAAAATTTATGAAAACGTCAATTTATAAATCTTTTTAAACCTACTTTATTTTTTATGAATAAGGCCATAAAATTGCAAACAGGCGCAGGAATAGTTAAGCATGTAAGCCCATTGTAAAAGCTACAAAAGGTTAAAGGCCCTACACACACATTGATTTATCAGCCAACCAGTTGACCAACTTAAAGATCATAAGCACGCATCGATTTATTAGCGAAGTAGGTGGTCAAATGCTAGAAGTTGTGTGTAAATAAGCCGTGTGTATGTAATTTGGTCAACCTTCGTCAAAAACTTTTTTTTTTCGAAGCAGATTGGTCAACTTGTTGCTCTTTGTATAGACCGCAGTGTTGCCACTGAATTGTATCCAAGTCCGTTTTGTGTAAATTTACTTTCCTAACTTAAAATCTTTTGACATTTTTCATGATATACATATATATAAAAAAATGGAAGTCAAAAATAGGGTATCATGTTTCTTATCTTATTCTGCAATAATTTTCAGTTATTTTAGGAGCAACTTATTTACTTAATGTATTTTGGAATAATTCAAAGCATCGTGAACTGGGAGCCCTACTACAAGAGTGTGCGATAGTGAAATTAGTAAAGAACGTAAACCCACCGGTACGTAAACTCGAGTCAGCCGAGACGATATATTTTACCAAAGCGCCATATAAATGACAACTCAACAACGCAGTATTTTTCTGTAGTTGTGAGGACCAAATATCCCTGAAGAATTAGGCCCACACAAATACCCGCCATCAAAGCAACCAGCGATGCCATAAACCACCATGATACAATAATACAAGGTGGTATTAGTTGTGACAGCTCGATTTGACACTGCCTTAGCTCAGTAGAATGAGAAGAAAAACGGGAAGAAATTAGTCCCCATAAGCAAAATTTGCTTTTTTATAGTATATTCGTAATTAAATGAAATAAAATAAGATAAAAACCCGTTTTATACTATGTCTCCATTTTGAGATTTAATGAAGATTTAGCCCTCTGACGAGATTTGGCGTTAAATCTTTTGAGATTTACCATATAAAATTAAATCTCGAGAGGCGGTAGATTTAAGTTAAATCTTCGTCAAATCTTCAATAATATTGATCAATAAGTACCATTTGTTGGATGTGGCAACCACAAATTCATATGCCATAAGTCAAATGACATTTGTGTTTTCAATATACAGTTGAGGACATTAAAATCTAGCCTATCATAAAAACATGAATTTTCGTATTTTTAGGAATTTTTATATTTTTGTTAGTTTGGGAGGAAAATTAGTAATACATATGTATATAACTTTGGTTGTAATAAGTTAAGAAAATCTTTTTTTTTAACTAAAAATTTAGAAGAAATGTTTTATAGTAATATTATGCAGAGTCTTCTCCGCTTTCTATAAGTCATTTGCGCGCTCCGACAAAAAATTCATAAATTTCGGAAATGGTTCTGCTTCGATAACATTGCACCGAACATCCTCTAGAACTCAATTCGTCTTCAAGATATGACAAAGGTCCACGATTGGATTTTCGGTTCCCTCCTATGAATAAGAGAGTTCTACAAAAATTTTTCTTTCCGCAAATGTTTTTTACCGTTTCGATAATTTTTCTTAAATTCGGGAAAATGATTGGGAATATGGTACCACTCTTCACATTTTCCAAACTATATATTATACATACATATTTACCACGAATAAGAAGTCAATA